CTGTGTATTTCGGGCACTGGAAGTGGACAAGGCCTGTCTGTGAGAACCAAGTTTCAAATAATTCTGTTGCTGTGCGTCTCAGGGGTTGTCCTCCAGCCCACACAGCTAGGTTTTTTGTGTATGAGAACTGTGGTGTGGACTCACATTACCAGAATCCTCCACAGACATTCTGGATGCTTTGATGTGGTTTGCCATCCAGAGGAACGCACGCATAAGTCCTGGCCTTGGCATGTTTGGACTTGCAAGTGAATGCCAGGGAGAGGTGTCTGTGTGTCCTGGCTCCGTGGTAGACCTGGCAGTCAGCCCTGGAGGTGCAGAGCTGCTGTGGTCCCAGCACTGGGGCAGACACTGAATGAAACGTTTCAGGACCAATGAACTATGTAATAAAGGTGAGAATTTGACATTTAAACTTCCCTGGCTAGTTTTAGTGCATAGCACTAGATAAGGATAAGGATTGAAATGACATTGTTCCTTGCAAATTCATGGTCTAAAGGTTGGTCGAGTCTCATTTCTATCACATAGAGAAAATAATGTAGTAATCTCATGTAGAAGGGATATAGTAAGTTGGCCATGAGAATTTAAAAAAAAAAAAAAAAAAGAAAAAATTAAGAGCTCTTGCACAGGTTTTATATCTGTCAAGGGAATAACTGGCTTCTGTGTTTTATGGCTTTAGTAACAATAAAATATTTTATCAGTAAGTTCAAATACTTTTGTTTACCAAGTAGGATAGCTTCTGTAATTTTAGAAATGGAAGTGAATTTATTTCATCATTATAGAAAAGTTGATGGTTTGGGTGCTTTTCTGCAGCACGGGTTTTCTCTTCAAGCAAACATTGATCTGCATGGAAAAATGTGTGTTATATTCATTAGAAGAATAATTATGGAAGGAAGAGCCTTCTGTGGGAAAACAGAGTATCCAACAACTGCTGTTCTCTACTGGTTGCTTGTATCAGCATAGAGCTGTGTATTTCGGGCACTGGAAGTGGACAAGGCCTGTCTGTGAGAACCAAGTTTCAAATAATTCTGTTGCTGTGCGTCTCAGCTGTGCACAGGCTAATTCTGAGTACACTATTAGAACCATGTTGTTAGTAAAAGTTTGCCAAATTAGTGGTGTTTAAAACAGTAATTAACATTGCAATGGGGATTTCAGCTGTTGTGCTTCTGCAAGTGAAGGTCCAAGTTTTAGCCAATTACAGGTTCTATAAAATGAAAAAGACAGCCACAGTGAACAGTGTGTCTTAGGGTTAACCTCTGATATTAAAGCTAGCCCCTGCCTCAGCCCGTAAAAGCTTTGATCATCATGGAAACCAGTTATGAATATGTCTAGATAATAATCCTCATAAAAAAATTGACTATCCTCTGAAGTAAATGACAAAGTGGGGGTTTTAGTATTAAATTCTGATGGAGCTCACATTATGCTAGTTGTACAGCATGCTGTTATCGGGTCCTTTTCTGTTTCAGACATTTTTTGATAAGAAGTAAAAACAAGCATTAACAAAGTTTGTGAATAGTAGTATATCATTTGCTGTCTGACCCACTAATATTTCTACCACTGACAATCATTTGAGGGTGAAAATGAGCATGAATAGAGGTAGTCTCTTAAAATATTAATATATCAAGCCATTAAAAATTATTCTTAAAAAGATAACAAACAGATCACTCCTGTAAACTGGAAGCAATTCACAAGCTTGTTGATTTTTTTTTTTTTAATACCAAGTTGCATGTGTCATATGATACAAATTGCTCCCAGCCCTAACAGTAGATGAAGTTCGAATGCTGGAATTCATCTTGTGGACTTCCTGTGCAACGTGGTGGTTTCTAAGCATTGATTTCATAACCGTGCCAAAGGGTTAAACTAAAATGCACAAAGAGTCATCGCTTACTGATGGCTTTCTATGCAGCTGCCAAATGGTATTTCAAAGAGTTCCTTATTCTTCTTCCAAAACTTGCCTGTTTAAGTCTTCTTTCCAGGTTTTGTGTTCCCTGCCCCTGCTTTAGCAGGCAAAAAAGCTTGTGGTAGATTCTTACTAGATTAAATGGGTTTTCTAATTGTAAGAAGTTGCAGTGAGATGTTTAGGAAAATATTATAAGTCTTGGTTATTCTCAGCTTTTCACGGTAGTTGGGAACAAATTCTGAGCTCTTTTAAGCAAGAGACTTAAGATCAGGAGATGCTTCAGTGAATCCCAGAGCTGCAGTGTTGTCACATCAAATTGCAGGCCCGAGCTAAGCCTTTACTCTTGCTTTCCTGTAGCTATATGCCAGCTAAATCATAGATGTCATATATTTAAAACAAAAACTAAAACCCTTAGTCCTTGATTTCCTAACCTCATTGCTCTATGGCTCTGGCATCGTGTTTGTGTGACGGACTCATCAGAATGGTCGCTCCCTTGCCTTGGCATGGCAGGGACATCAGCACGCCTTACTGAGAGGATCTGTTTTCTTTACATTTCACACATCATTGGCAGTGCTAATGTTGATAGATTCTCATTTCTTTTTTTTGCTATCTGAGCGGCGTAAAGGATAAGATAAGCCAGGGAGCCAGCAATATTTGCAGAATATAATTGCAGGATACAGTAGGTACAATGAATGGGCATTGCTTCTCAGGTAAATATTTCTCTTCTGAGTAACTGAGACAGAAATGCCAGAGACAAACCTGATACAGTTGTTACCTCCACTTTGGATTATGCAGAACTATACCCAATGAGGATTTTAGTTAATGCCCTGTGCTGTGGTTACACTCAAGAGATCTGAAATACTAGAGAGGGCACGGCTTAGGTTCAAATCATCCACACATGTTGTCTTTTTACTTAGAAGCTTACTTCAGATGGCAAATCAGATCTGGCCTTTAATCTACTTAGCCTTGCTAACACTAGATAGAGGGAGAGGTCTGTGTTTTTCTTTATGTAGCCAGGTCTTAACTACTGCAGATTGTTTCAGGTGTGATAAGAATACACTGTTGGATCACGTCCAGCTTGGCATCCACCATAACCGACACGTCTCTCTCAGCAGAGCTGCAACTCAGACAGTCAGCTCCTAGTCTCTACATCACTTCTGATGATGTTTTAAAGCTCTGTGTCATATGCAAATTAAGCCACCAGCTTAATAGCCATTAGCTATTGCAAAGCACCTTTAGATCTGGGGGAAGGTGTGACTTCATTTTGGACTTTGGCCAGAAGTTTTCTTGTGGTATGCAACTGGCAAGAATTTGACTCAAAAGATGTGCATCAACCTCTGAGTGACACTCTTAAGCCTTACCACTGAAAAGATTGAATCTTGTAGTCACTGCAAGTTTCTTCTGCCCGAAGTTATAATTAGCTGGCCAAGAAATTAGCCCTGGTAAAGTCAGTATTAAAACAATCAGGGGCTATTGAGTATCTTCTCATTCTAAAATAAACCACTGAAGCTGCATTTTTCTTCATTTAATGACATTAAAGTGCTTCCATCTGCAATGACAACCTTATGTTACTCTTGCTGGTGTGCACTGATAAAAAGACTTATATACACTTGTAAGGGTGTTTTCCTACGACAGCAAAAAAAGGTGCTTCTCTGTGACATGTCTTAGTTTATTCCTTTGTTATCATATTCTGAACCATGGCCAGCTCAAACTTCATGTGAGAAAACTCATTATTTAGTTGTATTTTTTGATAATTTAAGTTGAGGTCACTGAGAGCGTGCTATGTATGGCCCTCAATACAGGAAAGATTTCTCTGGTTATAGGTTTGCTAGGGACCTTTTCTTTGAAGTGTTAATGATGGGATGCTGATGAAAGCACAGATGAATGTGCAAGAATAATTCCTAATTTTCTTGCCCATGGAGCATACCTGTATTTCTATAGAGGCTAAGAGGTGAAGAGAAATATTATCCAACTGCTTATATTCACTGTCTCTATATGTTGTCAGTAATTATATGAATACAGGATTATGACACCTCTGTCACAGCTCTTTAAAGAGGCATTTGGTGGGTAACTTTTTGTCATTAAGTTCAGGGATATTGTTAAAAGGCTAATAAATAAATCTTTATTAATTTGGTTATACTACTGATTTTAAAATTTAAAATAGCTTGTGGGTACATCTTCCCAATTTAAATTTCTGTGAAAAAAATTCAAGACTAAATATCAGGAAACCTTGTTCAGGAGAGTTTGTGAAGGAAAACGTATGGGTTGTTAATCTTCCGTGATCCCCCTTCAGGCATGGAGATAGGTAATAAAATATGCCCTTACTCCTCTGCTTAATGCTGCTTCTGCTGCAACTCAGCTTGATTCCTGCTACTTGTCTGTTATGTTTGTACAAATGGATGGGCAGGAAGGGAGCAGAACAGAGAGGGAGCGAGGAGAGCCGTGGCTCTTTCCGTGGCTCAACTGTTCACAGCCAGAGAATTTGTCCGAGTGCAGAGGACTGAAGTATTTTACTGTCAGAACAAGGAGGGAGAGAACCATGGTGCTGGGAGCCTCTGACTTGAAAGGAGATTGCTTTTGATCTCCTTTTTGGGGATGATGCAGCTAAGTACCTCCCTTGAAAACACATTGAAACAGTACCATCTGGCCTCTCCATTTGTCATTGCTTTGTCATACCCTTACCCTGTCTGCCCATCTATTCACACACTGCAATAGAAAACTACCTCATAACACATGCCTGAAACGAACTGTCCCTTTATAAATTTAGGAATCACTCGGAACTCCCCTCCTGCCTTCAGGCTTACTTTGATATTCGTTTGGTATATTGTTATAGTCCAGGTTGCTTATTAACAGTCCTTAACCTCCTAAAAACTGTTTGACACCTTCGGCTTCATTTGCATTTCATGTGCCGCGTGATGGCTTGCTACAAGAATTTATGCTGATGAAAGTTACCCGTGATGGAAAGTATGTCTGTGTAACTGTTGCGTCACAGCTGGAGAGCTGTAAGCGATATAGGGAAAATACTATCCAACAGAAGCTGGTGTTACTGTAATTACATACTGCTAAATAAATAATCTAACATTCCTCTCGCATTGTAATTTTAAAGGGTGAACCAGGTTTCATTGGTCCGCAAGGAGAACCCGGGTTACCAGGGCTACCAGGAACAAAGGTAAGGGTAATTGCTCAACACTCCGGTGTGAAGCCCTTAGAGCCAATGTCAAATTCAACTTCCTCAGCAAATAGCAGAGACTGAGACTGTACCAATGGAGAAAAAATGTGGGAAGTCATAGTTCATGGACCAGTGCTATGAAATATGTCTCTTTGTACTGACGGCCTCAAACAATGTGAAGGCAGATGTTATATCCATTCATAACTTAAGTTCATCCATTGCCCTTGTTCATGTTAGCATCCCAAAAGTTATTTGTTCAAGAGTCAGAATATGCATGACTGAAGAAACTATATTTTCATATGTTTTTGTTTTTTTTTTTTTAGAAAAAAAGTTGAAAGTGTGCGCAGGTATTAGAACTTTGATACTACACACCAGACTGTGAAAATATGGATCCACCAAACCTGTATTTTTTTTTTCTTTCTTCCTATGGATTTTTTTTAAGGCACTGTACGACAGTCTCACAGTTTGGGAATCTGTATTCTGGTCCTTTCAAAATAGAGAAAAAAATACATTACAATTTCCATGTCGATGTCTTCTTCTTTTGCCTTCAAGAAGACTGTATTTACTCAGGGGGGAGCTCCCCAACCTATTATGAGTCATAGATGAACTTGAAAAGGTTTTCTTCTGATGGTTTGGTTTCTCTGGTCATGCTGAGTTGGTGGTGTGCCGAAGACTGCCCGGTATTTTGTGCTACATGTGTGTTTGTTGCAATAGGGTGACAGAGGAGAGACAGGCCCTGTTGGGAAGGGTGAGCGAGGTGAACCTGGAGTTCCTGGACCAAAGGTCAGTCTGATTTTACATTGGAAATTTTTTGTTAGTTTTACATCTATGCACACATCTTTTCCTGCT